AAAGAAAGCAAGTGAAAGAGGGAGGGAGAGTGGAAAGAAGACAAGAAGGAAGAACAGAAGGAAGGAAAGATTTTTTTTTAAAGCCTAGGCTAGATCATAGAAAGCTTTGCAGAATTTGATTCCCTTAATATAACTAAGAGATAAAAGAAAATTAAAAAGCAGAAATTGTGTTATACTGGAAAGATGGCTTACTAGAAGAGAAAAAACTATATCCATAGTAAGTAATGCTAAAATGTTCTATAACACCACAGCAACTTGTTTTTACAATACAAACTATGTTTACCGACGCTTCTAAACTAATGAAAATTGTGGGTAATTGCATCTTCTGTCTATTTTAGCTACATTCCTCTTTTACTGAGTATTAGCAAAACCTATTTTTGACTTCTCAGCAAGTGTTTACGATGGACCTGAAGACTGTAATGCTAAGTATGCTTCCCAGGAACCACGCTTCCTGATCCTGGGCCAAAGGAAAACACAAAAGCAGGGGCACTCCCACCCCACGGGCTTAGGTGCTATACCTGTGAGCAAAGCAGCCTGGCCTGGGCAGGCAGTCTAATCCACGGGTCAGCCCCACATTGGTAATGGCCCCCATCACGTCACAACATGCCACTTCCTGGTGCCACGGGGCCATGGCGGAAGGTATAGCAGGTCTTGCCTTTGCTTTTCCACCCTGTATCTGCCCTGATAACCTCCGCAGAGTAGGCCTGATTGTGTAAGGCTGGTCGACCCCAAAACTGAGCTTCCTCTCTGTGAGATTCCTCCTTCTCCAGTTGGTAAGAGAATACAGTTGGGGTGAAACACTCAACTACAGACCACCAAGGGATTATCATATGTTATTGTATATAAAAGGCTGTTCCTCAGTGTAGGCTCTTCTTGAATTTCCATTTGAAAAGACGAATACCAACTATGTTTGGTATATACTAACATTGATAAAAGTAATCATAATGGCCCACAAATACCAAGCAGCAGTACTGTCCTGGAAAATGGGCTAAGCAATCCACATCCATGACTTCATCGGACCCTCACAACAACCCTGTAGGAAGAGGTAGTCACTCTCATTTTAAAGGCCAAGAAACAGAGGTTAAAGAACTTGCAAAAGACAGGAATGGGACGGGAAGCAAGATCTGCCCAACTTCCTGACCCATGCTTTCACCTTTAGGGGACTCTGCACCTAGTAGCACATCAGTATTACGGGGGGGGGGGGTGTTCTCAAATAATAGATTTCCGGGCCTCACACAGATTTACAGAATCAAGCCTTTTATAAGCTTCTTTCTAGTCACACCCATGGCTAAGGACCAGCATACCTCAATACTAGTCAAAGTGAACACAAAGAGAACAGCATTACTCAACTAACTGAAGGTATTCGGGGGGCTTTGGTGTGACCAGAGTTTTTAACTATTCCAAAGTATTCAAGGGCCAGAATTATTCTGACCTGACAGTAATCCCTGCAGGGTGAGGAACAATCGACAAATATTGGGCTGGGTGATACAATGAGGCTGAGGGAGGAAGTATTCATTTGTAGCAGGGAGCTGGGACTGGAACCGTTCCTCACTGGAGCAGTGAAGGTGGAACGCAGTGTGAACGGGCCCACTCCTCCTCCTATGCCTGGCCCTTAGTAGACACCTCACAAATATTTGTTAAATGGACAAACGAGTGAAAGACTGACTCCCTCCAGGTGGAAGTAATTTCACTCTCCTCTAAATTCCTTGCATTTGATCTGTATCTTTTTTACCTTCTTTACCACATTCTGCTTTGCATTCCACTGTTTGAAACCTGGCTCATCTCTACCAGAAGGTAAGCGTTCAGGGGCAAACTCCCACCTCTTTCTGAGCAATGCCTCCCACTCTGCCACACACAGCACGCACAGGCCACAGCAGCGACCCCTAGCAGGGACCCTCCATGCCAAATGAGTATCGGGCTGGAGTCCATATGAGACCTGCCTCACAGATGTGGGTCCTGGCTATTCTCAAGGCCACGCCTACCAACCTTCCAACACTTGGCCTCATTGCGGGCTCCTGGGACACAGTGGCAGAGAGACCTCTGTGTGGAAATCATAATGGAATTTGGTAGACCTTGTTGGAGGGCAGGTTTCAGGAAGACCACGGCTCTGGGAGACAGAATCCTGAATATGAGGGCGCCTGGGTGGCTCAGTTGGTTAAGCGACTGCCTTCGGCTCAGGTCATGATCCTGGAGTCCCTGGATCGAGTCCCGCATCAGGCTCCCTGCTCAGCAGGGAGTCTGCTTTGTCCTCTGACCCTATCCCCTCTCATGTGTTCTCTCTCTCTCATTCTCTCTCTCTCAAATAAATAAATAAAATCTTAAAAAAAAAAAAAGAATCCTGAATATGAAATACTTAAAAAACAAACCAGGTTATAGCAACAAAGAAAAGGTGCTTTTCTTTAGTTTTGTTCTCCTGGTGTACTCTGCAGAAACTATTTCCTAAAATTACAACCATAGTTAAGAACACCCTGAAATATCAGACAGTGACACAGACTCAGGAATGAACTCTTCCCACTCAGCCCTGGCCAGAGCACCTGAGACAGTCAATCTGAAAGATAAGAGCAGACCAACTTCTCTTCACTCACTACCTCCTCCCCCTCACCACTTCAGCTCTTTATCGCGCTTTTATTGGGATGCTACACCTTGCGTGGTGTCTGGGTGGCCCCCTGATGCCTTGTGCTGTGCTGCTTTTGCTGTTTTGAACTCCATCACCCCACCTGATCCTCACATCATGTTATGGGCAAAAAGCAAACGCTGTCAACCCCATTCCTTGGATGAGATAAATGAGTCTCAAGTTCTATGATATGCCTAACAGCACAAGCAAGTTGTTGAACGCCCACTAGAGACTTAATTGTCTTAATTGAAGTGAACAAGCAAATGGAGGAAGGCATGAATCTCTCTAGTTGGAAATAATCTCATTGTAAATGTCCCAGAATTTGATCTTACTTTGCTTACAAATCCCTTTGCTCTGCATCACACAAACCCAAAACTATTGTTTTTTTAAGTAGACTCCATGCCCAGTGTGGAGCCCCACACTGGGCTCGAACTCAGGACCTCAGGATGGTGAGATCAGGACCTGAGCCCGTATCAAGAGTTGGACACTGAACTGAATGAGCCACCCAGGTGCCCCACAAACCCAAAAGAGTTTATGTGCTTCCTAGGGAGTCAAAGTGATGGCATGGTTGGGTAGGTCCCAAGAAGAAGATGATGGGACTAAAATGTTTAATAACAGCTGCAGAGTCTAGTCTGCACACTTCCATAACAGGTAATGGGCTCCTACAGATAGATGAACGGAGGTTTGGTTCCTGAGAAACTCAACCTTATGGGGATGACAGCCAGGTAAAGGTACACGGCAAGAGCGGAAGGCAGAAGCACTGTAAGGAGGGGTTAAGACGCAACATGCTGATGGCGTATGGGGCTCTCTCATCTCGAAAGTCAAAAGGTAATTTATACCAAGTAAAACAAAAAGCAAAAAACTTCCTTCTGATTATTTTATCCATTATAAGAAAAGGCATTTTTGAGGAGGAAAAATAGGCCAATGACTCAAAGTGAAGCTACAGTATCGTTTTGAAATTGTCTTGGGAAACTGGCAAAAGAAAACCCACCCAGGGCGGGACTGTGTCCAGGGGCTCCGCGGCTGCATCGCCCGGAGTCTGGGGCTGTACAGGGCCAGCGATTGGGGGTGGGGTCCAGTGACTATCCAGGGAACAGTAGTGACACGTAATTTTCAGAAAAAGGGACTAAGTCCACCCAGTCACTGCTAACAACTTGATAGGCTTCCCGAAGAAATAAGAAAGCCAGGGGACCGTGGCGCAGGAGCGAATGTTTCTCTGGGATAACGCAGGACCAGAAGACCTGGCTGACACAGACACACCCTTTGCTAATCTCAAAGAGTTGAAAGTCTAACTAAACACCCGTTTTTTAAGTAGACTCCAAAGATTTGGGTCGCCTTGACTGGGTCAGCTGGTTTCTCTTACGCTTGCAACTTTCTTCAACAGTTCTTTTTTGGAAAAAATGCGTTAGTAGAAAAAGGAAGGGGGAATGAGACTGAAGTGAGGCTGCCCGGAAAGTTCGGGAAAGGCCCCGGGCTGGGGGAAAAGCGCTGACGGGGACTGGAAGTGCCTCTAAGGTCAACGCGCACATCTAACGCGCGCATCTACCCCGACCAGAGAGCGAGCAGCAGTCTGCAGGCGGGAGCCTAGTTTGGGAAGCCGCGTTGCGGGATGGGCTCGATTTCCCCAGCGAAGAAAGCGAGGCGGTTCCTGGGCGAGAACTGGCCCGGGGATGCCGCAAAGTCCCCATCCGCCGAGTCGGGGGCTGTAGCTGCGGCTCCAGCGCATACCCGCGAAGCCCCTGCTTCGGGGAACTACGGCGGCAGCGGGTCCCGAGTCCCGCGGGCGGCCCCGGGTCTGCTGAGCCCAGGGGGAGGCGCCCGCGTCCGGGGCCCCGCCGTGCGCGGCCCCTTCCCCCCCCGCCCCGCCTCGCCCGCGCGCCCGCGCCCACCGCCCGCCGCCGACGCAGCCGCGACGTCCCCGGGCGCCCCCGCCCGCGGCTGCGCGGCGCTCCCCACCCCGCCGTCGAGCCCTGCCCCTCCCCGGCGTCCCCGGCGGCCGCTGGGGTCTCCCGCGGCGCCGCGCTAAGCCCCCGGGCTCCGGTCGCGCCCGAGGCGGCGGCGGCGGCGGCGGCGCGGCCCTTACCGCGCAGCGGTTCCGGGCGGCTCCAGGGCCCCGCGGCGTGCCGGGCATTTTCTTCTGGGAAACTTCCCTCGGGGCCGTAGGGCTGAGCCGGCCGGGCAGGAAAAACGCTCAGCGCCGGGAGGCTGCGACCATCCGGGAACTTCGCGGAGATGAAAACCCTCCCCCTCGGCTCCCCGTCCCCCCCTCCCCCCTGCGGCCCCGCCACATGTGGACGCGCCGCGAGGCCGCCGCCGGCCCTTGGCGCTCTCCTCCGGGCGCCGTGCCCGCCCCGCCTGCCTCCGAGGCTCTGCGCCCCGCAGCCCCGGCTCCCCCCAGAGAAGCGTGGCGCGAGTGGAGTGCTAGGAGGCTGGGGCTTGTGGGTTCCTCCGTCCCCTCCCCTGCGCGGTGAAGGCACGCGGCCGTGGGGTCCAGGACGAGCATCTGCAGAGGAGCGGGATCTGGAAGGTGTGTACGCCCGAGGGCCCTTTCCCCAAACACTGCTTCCTCTGCAGCTTCCCGCCGCTGGGGCGCCTCCTGTCCCACCCGAGGGAAAGCCTTTTCCCGTCGCCCTCTCCTCTGTTCTCAAAAGAGGGGGCCCAGCTTTGAGACACCTTAAATTCAAATTCATTTTAAAAATGAACTTCAAAATGGAGTGCAACCCACAGAAGCCCACGTGCATGTGCATCTGTCTCCCCGTCCACGGTGTGGGGACAACAGTGCCGCCCTTCCCGTGGGGAGATGCCATTCCTCCCCACAAAACGGGCGGGGTTCTTTGAGTAGTTTTGCCTCTAAGTAGGCATGGATCTGTCAGCCACCCACGTCCTCAGATACCGCACGATCACAGCAAACATTTGGAGAAAGGGAAGGTTCTACTCCATTGCCAAAGCTAACTCTCATTACCAGGCTCGGACCAGCTCTGAAAGCCCCAGGACCTAAAGAAAAGTTAACACTCACCATGATGACACAGCTACTAGAACGGGGTGCGTTTGAAAACAACAACAAGGTATGATCAGTATAATAACCACTTAATCATATGCTAAAATTCCAAGGCTGTCTATCCCTTATGAATAAAAGCAGAAAAGGTGGGAATATGTGCACTAGAGTATTGACGTCCTAGGCTGAGGAGATTGTTGATCCATGACTTGAAGCTGTCTCTTTTATACCATTCCCATGTGCACATTTGTATCCTGACCTGCTCTTAACAGGGACAACAGCCCTTCTGGAAAAACGTTTGGTAAGTTCTAAACCCTTCCAAATGACAAACTTTTGTTCCTAAATGTACCCATCTTTTTAAGGTTTATTGTATAGTTGCTTTTCTTTCTAAGCCATTTCTATGGTAGTATGCCCATGTTATGTTTTATATAAAAGCAGGGCAGGTGATTTCATATATCAACATACTGTTCCAGACTTGAAAACATATCAGTAGCACTCATCGCAGCATGGTGTGGAAGTTAAGCAGAGAAGCTGTCTGGTCTCCTTGCTAGGTCTCTGAGCCTTATTTTTGGCTTCAGTCAAACAGGCATAGCAGGGTCGCCTGGGTGGCTCAGTCATTAAGCGTCTGCCTTCGGCTCAGGTCATGATCCCGGGGTCCTGGGATCGAGCCCTGCGTGGGCTCCCCACTCTGCAGGAAGACTGCTTCTCCCTCTCCCACTCGCCCTGCTTGTGTTCCTGCTCTCGCTGTCTCTCTGTCAAATAAATAAAATCTTTAAAAAAAAAAACAAAACAGGCATAACAGCAGTTCTTACCTCCTAGGGATTGTTGTAAAGATTAAATGTGATTATTCCTCCAAAGATGAGTGCGGTAGTGACCCAAGCAGAACAGGAATCAGATCTTTGATTCCCCCAAGTTCAGCAGAGTTCCTGGGACCTTATAGGGAATCGATTAAATACTTGCTGGAAAAAGAACTCTCGAGTTTATGTCTTTCAAAAATCCACATAAATTTTAGCATTAGTATGCACAAAAGGAAATTAGGAAGGTAATATACATGCCCCCTCCCATCATTCCATCATTGGAAGCCCAAAATAGATGGAAAGCTGAATTGTCTGCTGTTTTAAATCACCCATGAAGCCAGTGATCAGTTGTACATAGTGCCTCTGACTCTCTCCTCAGACCCCAGTACTTTTCTCAATAAAGTCAAAACCTCAATAATATTTTATCAATGGTAATTTTCTATTTTCAATTAAGTGGGCTGTAGTTATGTAAAATGGTAACATTTGGGGAAGATGAGTAAAGTGTATCTGGAAACATTTTTTACTGCTTTTTGCTACTTAATTATAAATTTGAAATAATTTGAAGCTGAAAAAGTTTTTTAAATGTTTTCAATTAAAAAAACAAAAACCTAGGGGCGCCTGGGTGGCTCAGTCGTTAAGCCTCTGCCTTCAGCTCAGGTCATGGTCCCAGGGTCCTGGGATTGAGCCCCATATCGGGCTCCTTGCTCAGCGGGAAGCCTGCTTCTCGCTCTCCCACTCCCCCTGCTTGTGTTCCTGCTCTCGCTCTCTCTCTCTGTCAAATAAATAAAACAAAACAAAACAAAACAAAAAAACAAAATTTTATCGCAGATACACTCTTCCCTTGGGGAATGCCAAATTGTAGCTTAAAATGAAGATACTGAAGTTAGTAGCAGGCAGAGGTACTATGCTAAACCTTTGCAGTCATGTACACTTGATATAAATGAGTTAATAAAAAAAATGGCTAATTGCTGTTTGAAGATGAAGGTAGGCTAGAAATGTTGTCATGATACTGGGAAATAAGGAGAAGGAAGAGAGAGAGAGAGAGAGAAGGACATTGAGATTGACAAAGACAAGTTTACCAGAGCAGAATATTATTAAATACATAGGTTTGCTTACCATTTCATAAGCTTCCATTTTTTTGGAACTCTAAATTAGGCTATGGTGACTTGAACTTCTCCTCTTATAGCAATTATTTGTGTATTGTAAGTACTTGTTTAATGCTTGTCTTCCCCCAGACGGTAGCCCCAATCTGGGGGGAGAGGCATGTGGAGGGAGGGAGCTGTCTGCCTGGTTCATCACAATGTTGCCAGCACCTGGCACATTCTTAGTACTTACTAACACTTAATAAATGAATGTCATGACAAGATTGGGTCCTTGTACATATAGAGTCTCATTTAATTCTCAGAGCAACTTTGTGAAATAGCTATTTTCCCCCATCTTACAGATGAGGGAACCGTGACTTGGAGAGCTTAGGAAACCTGCTGAAGATCACTCAGCTTGTGTACCCATATTATTTTGACCCTGACACCCTTGTTCCAACATTATGCATACTGTCTCTTGACTTGATTTCCTGTGTTTATTCCACCTCTGAGCTTCTGTTGGTGTGAATGGCTTGAATTGACTAGCATCCTTGGTGCCAGATATCAAAAGAAGAAAATATTATATTTATTTTTGTAGAGAATTATTGAAGTTCAGGTAGATCTGGTTAAAGGCTCTATATTACCTTGAATGTTTAGGGTTCTCTCTTCTGAATTAATGCAGGGAGGAAATGGAATGCTATGTGGAACATCCATGATAGGCCGGGGGATGGTACTGAGAATTAGGGTGTGCGTGGGGAGGGAAAAGCCTTGCCCACTGCTTTGCATCCAGTGCAAAGTCAGTACATATCTAATGGAATTAGTAGTTTCCAGAACTGAAAAGACTCAGCTCTTAAAAGCTGAATATTTTGCTTATTTGTACCATACCTTATTTCAAAAAAACTTAAAGAGTTGAATATGATGAAATTTAAATCTTAGTCTGGGACAGGAAATTTACTAATTATTTTCAATCTTATTTATTAATTTTTATTTTTTAAAGATTTTATTTATTTGAGAGAGAGAGTCCAAGCGGGCGGCGGGGGGGAGGAGTAGAGGGGGAAGGAGAGGGACAAACAGACTCCATGCTGAGCACTGAGCCCTACACAGGGCTCGCTTGATTCCAGGACCCTGAGATCATGGCCTGAGCTGAAGGCAGACTCCTAACTGCCCGAGCCACCCAGGCACCCCTTTATTTTATTTTTAATTGAAATATAGTTGACGGGACGCCTGGGTAGCTCAGTCGGTTAAGCGTCTGCCTTCGGCTCAGGTCATGATCCCAGGGTCCTGGGATTGAGTCCCGCATCAGGCTCCCTGCTCCGCGGGGAGCCTGCTTCTCCCTCTGCCTCTTTCTCTCTCTCTGTCTCTCATGAATAAATAAATAAAATCTTTAAAAAAAAAAAAAAGAAATATAGTTGACATAGAATATTATATTAGCTTCAGGTGTACAACATAGTGATTTGACATACACATTATAAAATGATTACGATAAGCTTAGTTAATATCTGTCAGCATATGAAGTTATTACAGTATCATCAACTACATTCCCTGTGTTGTACTTGACATCCCTGTGACTTGTTTTAAAACTGAAGTGTGTACCTCTTAATCCGCTTCACCTATTTTACTTGTCCCTCTACCTCTCTACCCTCTGGCAACCACCAACTTGTTTCCTGTATTTATGAATCTGCTTCTGTTTTGTTTGTTTTGCTTTTTAGAATCCACATATAAGTGAAATTATATGGTATTTGTCTTTCTCCATTTGACTTATTTTACTTGCCGTGATTCTTTCTAGGTCCATCCATGTTGTCACAGATAGCAAGATCCATTCTTTTTTATGGGCTGAATAATATTCCTGTGTGCGTGCGTGTGTGTGTGTGTGTGTGTGTGTACCTATCACATCTTCTTTATCTGTTCATCTCTTGATGGACATTTAAGTTGCTGCCATATCTTAGCTATTGTAAATAAGGCTACAATGAACATAGGGATGCATACATCTTTTTGAATTAGTGTTTTGATTTTTTTGGATAAATATCCAGAAGTGGAATTGCTGGATCATATCATAGTTCTTCATTTTTATTAAGATTTTATTTTTAAGTAATCTCTACATGGAGCTTGACCTTAGAACCCTGAGATCAAGAGTCACAGGCTCTACTGACTGAGCCTGCCAGGAGCCCCCATAGTTCTATTTTTAATTTTTTGAGGAACCTCCGTACTGTTTTCCACAGTGGCTGTACTAATTTATAGTCTCACCAATAGCGCACAAGGGTTCCCTTTTCTCTACATCCTTGTCAACACTTATTATTTCTTATCTTTTTGATAATAGCCATTCTGACGGGTGTGAAGTGATACTTCATTGTGGTTCTGATGTGCATTTCCCTGATGATTAGTGATGTGGAGCAACTTTTCATGTGTCTGTTGGCCATCTCTGTGTCTTCTTGGAAAAATGTCTATTCAGGTCCTCTGCCCATTTTTTTCATTGAATTGTTTGTTTTTTTAGTATTGAGTTGTGTAAGTTCTTCACATACTAATCCCTTATCAGATGGATCATTTGCAAATATCTTCTTCCATTCAGTAGGGGGCCTTTTCGTTTTGTTGATGGTTTCCTTTGCTGTGCAAAAGCATTTTAGTTTGATGTAGTCCCATTTGTTATTTTTGCTGTTGTTGCCCTTGCCTGAGAGACAGATCCAAAAAAAATATTGCTAATACTGATGTCTAAGAGTTTACTGCCATGTTTTCTTTTAGGAGTTTTATGGTTTCAGATCCCACATTTAGCTCTTTAATCCGTTTTGAGTTCATTTTTGTGAATGGTGTGAGAAAGGGGCCCAGTTTTCCCAGCACCATTTATTGATGATACTGTCTTTTCCCCCTTGTATATTCTTGCCTCCTTTGTTGTAGAGTAATTGACCATATAAGCGTGGATTTATTTCTGGGCTCTCTGTATTGTTGTATTGATCTATGTGTGTGTTTTGGGGTTAGTACCATACTGTTGTGATTACTGTAGCTTAGTAATATAGTTTAAAATCTGGGATTGTGGTGTGCCTGGGTGGCTCAGTCAGTTGAGCATCCAACTCTTATTTTCGGCTCAGGTCCTGATCTCAGGATCATGGGATCCAGCTGGCTCCAGGCTCAGCACAGTCTCCTTGTCCCTCCCCCTCCCCCCACTCCCGGATTGTGATACCTCAGCTCTGTTCTTCTTTCTC